ATGAGCCCCAAGAAGGGCGAATCGGTCGTGGGCTGTCAAACAGTTTTCAGCAACATTGTGAGCAGTTTCCTCTATGAAAAAAGGACAGGCATACTCGGAAGATTGTGCCAATCGATTGCCAATCGTTTTATTGTAATTTCCAGACACAGATCGGCACGAGACAAGACCGACCTGAATAAAGTGTCAAATTCTCAAAACAGTTCTTTCATAAAAAGTCTTCCGTGAAAAAAGAGCCTAGATGACCCACTGGTCATTTTAGATTTAACTCTTATGCTAAAGAACAAATAAATTCTGCACGGTATACAACGTAAATGGTCAGGTCCTGTACAGACAGACTGTAAATCGGTCACGAAATTCACAATTTATGTTATCATGAGGGTTATCGAGCTTCAATTTTGCAACCCATTTTTCCGGTAAATTCCCTTAGATGGGTAATTTTGTCACCCCCCAAGGAGAGCAAGGAAGCCTCATTGGATCAGTAAATGAGAGATATGAGTACAAGACCGTGCAACTGTCTACAATACGTATTTTTCTGTAAAACACGTGATTGTAGTTTGATGAAATTACATGGAAATTACATGCCGAATGTCGGAAAAGCTGGAAACATTTGCTAAGAAGAGTAGCTTGCTTACCTTTGTTTTTCATAAGAAATAAACCAAAAGTGTTGACCATTGGGCCGGACACCAGGAGCGAATCAAAATACGTGTTCTTCAGCTTTTTTCCAGATTGTAGTTCATAGAAACATTTTGAACTGGTAATCCTTCTATCAGTTCCCATGACCATGGTAGCATCCTGCGCTGGTCGTAAAGCTCCTGGGTTAAAACAAGTAAGTATCATTTTCGAGAAATACACTCATTTACAAATCAATTTGGTTTTCTATGAGAGACTCGACTGAATCACTCGTTTATGATATTCTACAACTGAATGTGCCGCACACAGGCCGCCTCAGGTTTCAGTTGGCATGATATTCGAGATATCGCAGTATCTTTTCATAAAGGAAACTACCCACAAAGCTGCCGACCATCATTTTGTTACAATGTGTCCTCTCGCTCTCTCTGTGCCTGACTAGAGATTTGTATACCGCCGAAAATAGCCTACTCAGTTCTGCTCTACAGTCAGTTCTGTCATATGTTTTACCGCAAAAACTGCAAACATTTACTTGACTCGACTAGCGTGTCTAATTCTCCATAGACATATAATCCTAAACTGTGGCGCTGTGCAAACGTCGAGGATCCTCGTGTAAACCAGACGCTGCTTAGACCAGATTCTCATATATCACACCCGTTGAATAGTGAATTCGGGCCTTTTCATCCCCCCTCCCCATTCCCAATCCTGTACTGTTGACAGAGCCAAGTGGACTTCTGTAATGAATCAACTCCAGCAAGTAGTTTAAAACAAAGGCCGCACTTACTGTTTAAGCAAGCGATTTACCTGTTTAGCGTCCAGCCAAAGGGTTGTCTATAAACAAAGCACGGGTTCAAGTAGAACATGAGGTTGACGGAAACCTGAGGACTGCGCCTACCTGATTAGCATGCCCGAAGAAGGAAAAAAAACAGGGCAAAACAGCAACAATTGTGATGTCTCGAATATCGTGCCAACTGAATCATGAGGCGGTCTGTGTGCAGCACATTCAGCTGGAGGACATCATAAACGAGAGATTCAATTGAGTCCTCTGTGAAAAGCAACTTGACTTGCAAATGAGTGTAGTTCTCGAAAACAGTTCAATTTGAGCTCAAGTATAACATAACATTGACGGAAACTCGGAGACTGCGGCTACCTGAGGAGCCCGAAGTGGAAGGGCTAAACCGGTCGTGGGCTGTCAAAGAGTTTTCAGCAAACTTGTAAGTAGTTTCCTTTATGAAAGTAAGCTTCGTGTTTACTCCGGCGTCAGCACCCAGAACAGTGAGTCGGGCACACCAATCACATCGCTCAAGTGTGAACACGTTCACCTGTTCAGATGTGATAATTCAGATGCCTCCAACGTGCGTTGGTGGAGTAGTGGTTATACGCTCGCCTCGCATGTCCGATGTCCGGGGTTCAAATCCCGGCACGGCCATTGGATATGCACTACTGATGAGCTCTAATAAGAGCGAAACTCAAGTCCAGTGCTTCTCTTTGGTGTGGACTTACCGGAATAATTACGCCAGAACAGGAGGACGGCCGTTCAATCGAGAGTGGTGTGGCTATGAACAAGCAATGAGCTTTACCAACAGTAATTCAATCTTTTACACCATCAACCGAGTACCTTGCACCAAATTTTAGCGCATCAACATCCCTGCTTAATTGCGTGTTGTGAATGATATTTTGTGGAACACAGAGGGTCACCCCTGGAAAAATGAAATCCAACAGCAGTCACGTTTGATTAGGAGGACAGGCTCCGAGATCCGTCACACGGATAAGATGAATAGGCGGATTGCGTACTGTGTAGCTTATGCTTTTCAGTGTTTGAAACAAACATCTGAGTCACAGATTTGTAGCAAGCGCTTGAAAACACATTCACCGAGATTTCTTGCTAAGTTCAACTGCCGTTGACACTAAGGGTTGTCGCGTATTTCCTGGGGTTCTGAAAAAATGACCGACGAAAGATTGTGAGAATTTGAGTGCTCTATTTCTCTCAAATGAGTTTTAAGCTATAATGATTAGATCGTTTCTTGACTTATTGTCTGCTTTCATGGATCGCACCACGTTTCATCGAAGGCCGGAAGCGGAAACACGTTGTTAAGTAGATGGCTACCGTACGGGTAAAATATTTGGTCCTAGAAGACGGAAGTTACACAGCCTGTCGAGTTGTTCCGTCCACAATGTAAAGTCAATTTTTCTCTAGCCTGTCAGATTTCTGTCGCGGTTCCGATTAAATCGCACTGTCTCAAAAGTAACATAAGCGGTAAGTCTACTTCTGATTTTACGGCTTCATTGAATGAAACACCCAATGCTTTGGTCATGAACGATAATCTGGAACCGATAGACGATTTAACTTAACATCCGAAGCTTTCATCTCTTTGAATTCGGTTGTTTTCATGGATTCTATCAAGCGTCCTTGCTAAAGTACCACTTGGAACTCGATGCATCTCTTAAGAGTAGTTATTTCTTTGGTTTCTGTAACTGAAAATTGTACCCCAATCTGACTTGGCGTCACCACATATTCCTCTCCACAGCACCCAATTTGCTTCAACATTGGTTGTTCAGTAGAACTCAGTTTTCTTGATTCTGTTTATCAAGAAATTCTATGATTTTCCTTACCGTCGAGTATCCAACAGGTAAACCGCAGTTCTCTGGCACCGCGGTTCACATTTGTCAACATCAGTCTTCAACTGATGAGGCTACTGTGACGTTGATGAAAACACGTACCCATCTGTTGATCGCACTTATTGTACAGCCAACCAATCATGCGTTCTGTAGGAGGCCAGCAAATAGCAATAGGCATTGACAGGGTATTTTTGGGGTAGTCGGTGAGAATGACATGGCTGGCTGTTGTTAAGAGAAAATGAGTAGTTTGCTTTTGTTGTTGTTTACATCTATATTGTTTATGGTAGTCCGAAACATTGGAACAGTGTCCCTCTCAAGAAGAACTACATCAATAACAAATGTTCTTTCCCATGAGAACATTTTTACCGGGAATTAAAATTCTTCTCAATTCTTCTGCTGCACAGAATGGCTAGGTTGTTCCTCTAAAGTATCATAAGAGAACTGCCGAAAAATACAAGAGAAAGGTACAAAGGCTGGTACTGATTGTACCGTCGAGCAACGTTCCTGGTTTTGATGTGGCTCAGAATAGATTTGTGATCAATTCTTGTAAATTCGTTTGACATTAGCCATGTGAGAAATTTCTGTTTGGTTTTCCAAGGCCTCGTGTACCACAATGACTAAAAGGATTCACTAGAGCGAACAGGTCAGATGCCTAACAGGGTTCCGAACACGGGACGCCACGAGGAAGATAGCCGGTCCGCAACTTACAGAGGCTAGTTAGGATGCCAAAATACAGCTGGAGTCACATAAAACCAATCCAAAAAACGGTACAGACTATTACTAAATGAAAGGCCTAATGAAAATATCGTTACAAGATTTTGAATAGAAATTTCCTGCTCTTAATGAAGCGAGTCTATTCTAATAAGCCGAGAAACACTGTACAGATTTGTCATCCTGGGCTGTGAGCCTCCATATCCCTTCAAAAATCTTTTGTGGGTAGCAAGAAACGACAATCCTGGGTCGCCGTTATTTCATGATTTGAACCCACTCTCGACAACTCGACTGTTTTCGTCTAGGCTTCGACAGGTGGTGGTGTGGTAGTCAGAAACCGAAAGAGGGTTACAGCTGAACTATTATTATATTATTATTAAAAACCACCAGCAATGCGCATCTCATGAAACTCCCGGAAGAGCCCGTCAACACGTGGCTAAGTAATGGGAATGAACGGCGCTATGTGCTGTCATTGTGAAAGCCAATCACACTACAGATGTGTCGTTTCTGACTGAGTGGTTCTGTTCAGTCCACTAGTCTCGAGGATGCGGGTGCGACGCTCCGCAGTAGTATCCATTCATTTCAAGATCCCAAAAGAACGGCACCAGTCTCGCATTCGATTACTTTTCGAATGGTTTCAGTGATGGAGAACTGAGTTTTATATTTGTCCTGCAGGACGTCGAACAGACGGTGCAAGTGACAACGGTCAAGAACCTAAAAACGTCGTTTGGGTGTTTATTGTTGCAGACGCTTTTCTTTCGGTGGCCAAATACTGCACTAGTCTTTTCGACTTGTTCATTTACTTTTCTGCCGATCTTCAAGTCTGCGAGTGGTTTGTCACTGGGATAGTCAAAATCCGTGTAGCCTACTGCCATGCTGTTGAGAGATGTTGCAAAACCAACGTCGAAGTCAGTTGCTGTAATATATGGCTTGGGAGTCTAAGAATGCTCTGCAGCGGTCAGTTGGACTGACGCAGCATTGTTTAAGCCAGAGAACTCTTCGATCTGGCAAAAAAACGATTCAGAATGCAATTTAATGGTGAACTGCCCTCATAAAGGCTGAAGGTTCAGACACACATGGCTGGTACTCAACGCCTACACAAGAGTGGAACAAGAACGCGAGTTCCCATCTGTCCGCTATCTATTTAGAACTTCGTGGAGATGAATGGACATTTCTTGGCTTTAATCTACGCGGACTATTCTGTTGGGTTTGACGAATTCATCCAGCAATCGAAGATTTCATATGTCTCTCGTGGGGAAGCTCTCTAATTGGTGGCAAATTCACAGAAAGCTAAGACAAAGGTTGAGTCCGTTGATGATATTACTCTTGGCCGTGTCTTGTAACATTAAGTCACCGCCACATAATACGCACTACTGCTCAGCACAATCGTCTACTATACTGTCAACTGCTACTTTGATCACGATAGCTTTCCGCAGACTTATTTCGTTTTTACGCAGGTGAATTGAAATCTCTCATTCGTCAAGTTGGAGAAGTTTGTTCTCAATCGTCGGCTGGGCTTGAACGACTCGGCTGGAAACTTACCCTTTTTTCGCAGCTTTCCCATTCTGTAATTGGTTCATGGTACCAAGAATAGATGGGTTACATGGTTCGAACTCATGTCTCTTGGCTGCTTGCGTAGCAATGAAAAGTCGCGTTTCCATGTTTCCAGAATTTCATCAGGCTCGTTAGGTCTCTCGCCAGTTTGGCTATCAGGCGAGTTTGGCTTTCGGTATGCAGGCTTTTACACACTCATACACAGTGTCCTGTGGGAACGGCGATCGATTAAGGCTCTTTACTCCACTTGATGTTTTCCGTTTATGTTTTTCGTTTCCGAAGTTGTTTGAGAAGCATGGTCAAGTTGCTTCCAAACCTCTATGATT